GTCCTGCCACAGCCTAGGTGTGCAAAGTTTAATTTGCTGCTGAAAAAATAACAGTCAACAACCTGACAACAATGTGAAATAAAAAATAACAGGGTTAACCATGCGTTTTTTGTGATTATAGCTCAGAGAAAAGAAGTTTACCACAGAAACTTTGAAAATATTCATGCTAATTTTTTTTTCCTGTCTTGGAGTAAGACTTTTCTCTCATTACACAATAAACTCAGCTGCTGATGCCTCCTGCTGTACCTTCAGTTTTTTTTTTCTTTTTCATGATCCGAATCTAAGTCTGGGAGGTCTCTGCAGACCCCCACAGATGGGGCTTCCTTCCTCTGACGTGGTGAACGCCCCGAGGAGAAAACGAGTCACAGGATTTATGTACCAGTCAGCTCACAGCAACCAAGTGGGCTGGATGAAAAACAGGCAGCGACTTGATATCTGAAAGATGAAATGGGATAAAAATATTACAGAATTGCTTTGAGATGCTGCATTTACAGGGGGATCTGTGTCCCACTGATGCTCCAACATGTGCATGCACACATGGGCACATGTTTACAGAACTGAGCGAATAGTAATGTGGTTTACTGGGTCTTTACCTTTTTGTGAGGAGCCTCAAAATTATTGCAGCTTTTTTAATCCAATAAGAAAGTTACTGACAGTACTGCTGTCTCCTTGAGCAGTGAAATGTGTGTGCAGAGCAAAGCCTAATTTATTACAGAGTATAATGGCTGACTATTAAACTGAGTGCTCCTCTGGACTGGCTTGTATCTGTAGCAAGTGAAGGTAATRGAAAGTTCACAAGAGATGATGTGGTTTTATCTCAGTTGGGATTACAGGAATGTCTCTGAAATGTTTTCATTTGTATATATTTTTCCCAGTTTGCGTTAATAATAAGTCTTATTTAAGTTTTTCTATTTTTGCTGTGAATGTTCTGTAATCTCTCTGCCAGTCTTGGCCAGGATTCTCTTGCAAAAGAGATTTTAATCTCAATTAGATTTTCCTGGTGAAATAATTGAAATAATTATTTTACAATAATAATAATAATAATAACAATAATAATAATTTATGCACCAGAATTAGTCATGGTGTTCCTCAGGGTTCTTTGCTTGGACCAGTACTCTTTACTTAATATTACATAATATATACTCTTGTAAGGTAAAGTGGCACCCTGAACCCTCCAACTCTTGTTGAAGCTAAGCAGGGTAAGGCCTGTTTAGTACCTGAATGGGGGACCCTCTGAGATTACCAGGTTCTGTATAACCAATGYAGGAGTTGTGCCCACATTGCAAAAACTAGCAATAAAAAAACATTTGACCATAATAGGTCAAAGGTCACCTTCTGAAGGATGCAGACAAAAAAATAAAAGCTATAATTATCCATGTAGCCTGACAAATCCAATTAATTACATAAATTGCAAGCATGTTTAAGACATTAAGACCTGGATGACTCTTAATTTTCTGCTTGTAAACTCAGACAAAAMAGATTGTAGTTTTTGGATCTGAGCATCTTAACAGCACAGTCTTTTACAACCTCTGGATAAAAATTATTTTTGAAACCTGGTTTTATTTTTGATCAGAATATGTCTTTTAAGCCCCACATTAAAAATGTTGCCAKGACTGCTTTTGTCAGCCATCCATCCATCTGTACTTGCTTCTTCCTTTCAGAGTCACTGGTGYCCAYGTTCAGCAGTAATTGTGCGAGGGGTGGGGTTTTCTCTGGGCAGGTTGCAAGTCCATCACAGGGCCACATAAAGACAAACAACCATTCACTCATAACTAGGAACAATTTGGAGTTACTAGCTAGCCTAACAGTCATGTTTTTGGTGGGTGGGAGGAAACCGGAGCACCTGGAGAAAATGAGAGAATGTGAAAATTCTACCCACAAAAGGTCCTTGGGCAGGATTCGATCCAACAACTTTTCTGCTGACTGCTCTATCAACTGAGCCAACACCTGTGTAATATATAAAAAAAACATCTTGATGCAAAACTGATGCAGGAAAATCATTCATCAAGTCTACTATAAACTATAATACTTCTTTATTATCTGCATGTTAAAGCATACTAAAGTTTCCTTTCCCCAGATGATCCAAAATGCTGCTGCTAGAGTTCTAATAAAGARTAAAAGGAGAGATAATATTTCTCTATTTTCAGCTTCTCTCCGTTGGCTCCCTGTCAAATTCAGAAWATACTTTAAATTCTTTRCTTATATCATACAMAACTCTGAACAGCCAAGATCCATTTTATATTAAAACTCTCCTAAGGGTCATGACAGCTCTTCGCTGTCAGACTGCAGGTTTACTTGTGGTTCCTAGAGTTTCTAAAAGTAGAATGGGAGGCAGAGMTTTTAGCTCTCAGGCTGCTCACTTATTGAACCAACTGAGGMTGASACTCTGTCTACTTACAAGACTAGGCTTAACTCTTTCCTTTTAGTTAGAGTTAACTTGGATTTCCTGAGCTATCCCTTAATAACGTGGCTTAGACTGCCAGAGGAAAAATGGAGCACATTTCCTCACTCTGCTGCTGTCGTTACTCTCTACTTTTCATACTTGTTTTCTTAATTTTTACTCTCTTTAACACAGGATTTTTTGTTTGTTTGTTTTACCATAGAAATTACTCTTGGATGAGCCATTCTGTGTTTTTCATCGCTTTTCTGTCCTTTCTGACCCCAGCCAGTCAAGRCAGATGGTTCTGGGTCTGCTGGCTGAAAATGTCTTCCTGTTAAAAGGAAGTCATTCCTTTCCACTGTCTCCACTGTGCTGCTCAGGTTGTGAGGTTGCAACAAAGTGAAGCCTCTACCTAGTATTCTGTGTTTTTTTAATGTTTCTATAATTTTAAAAGCATTATTCATTTTAAAGTGTTTAAGACAAGGACAACAAAAACGTTTTGTTTCTTTGTGGCGTTAAATAATGAAAYACCCTATGAGAATGTCCAAACATTTTACTGCTGACAAAATTATGGAAATATACTAAAAATGTTCAAAAATTGTTTAGATTAAAAATATCGGATTTGAATAATCACAATAAACAATTTCTGAAATAAATATTTAGTATTCTATAGTTTGAGATTGTGAATATATGTGGGAATGTGAGTAATTATTTGGCAGATATGTATGTTAGTCTAAGTACACATATATATTTTTATTGCACAAGTTTATGCTTCTTTTTACTCCCTTTTAAACACCTGATTACCATTTTTGAAATAATGTTTGAATATAAGGTATAAAAAATTACTGTAGTTTCTTATTTCATTTTTTTTAACCTTTAACAGTCTTTGTTCCTGCACCTGTGGGAAAAAAACTGTGCCATATCTGCCTTTAAATGTTTTCGGACATTTCCAGATGCTACCAGGGGCCTTTTGAAAAGGCTTTTAATGAGTTTCAGRGGTGACTGTTATGGGGTGGTTCAAAACAAAGTGATCAAGTAYWCAATGAAACAATACACTTAGATGAYTTTAGCTGTGAGTTGTTGTGTATAAATAAATGAAAGTGAATTGAAACAGAGGAGACRACGAATGCCCCAATGTTGTTTTTCATATAACATCTACCACAAGTTTTCAAAATGAAATGCTGTGCTCCTGTTCATGCAATAAGATGATGTATTTCAAACAGAGGCTCTCCCTGCACTAATGTGTGTGTGTTCATCTGAGTCAGTGAGAAGAGAAGACAGATGGTCAGGCTGCATGTGTTTTGGGTTCTCTTAAGTGATTGAAACTGCCTCTCTGCAAAATGCCTCCGAGGCGCCCCTGATTCTCCCACCTCACCTCTGAATAACAAACACTCGGTCCTCTGTCAAGGTTTAGTGCGGTGAGCTACGTCTCAGATCCTCCTCATCCTCTCCTTCCTCTCTTAATGAAATAATGACATTGTTTTTTTTTTTTCCTGCTTTGCCTGAATCGACACTTGGCCGGCTCCTGTGGTGCAGGAGAAGCTGAGTCATAAAGGTTTCAGTGCCCTGATTTATGGACAGTGATGTGGATGAGGTGGGGTGAAGAGGAAAAGCACTGGAGTCAGCTTGCTGATCACAAAGACACATGTCAGGACAGAGTCAATCTGCTGACTTCTGATAAAAACAAACACACACACACACACACACACACACACACACACACACACACACACACAC